AATCAATTACAAACTTTATGTGGAAAGGAAAGAGATCCAGGGTAAGCAAAAGCACTGCTTATGAAGAAGAATAAAGTTGAAAGCCTCTCACTCCCTTATTTCCAAATTTACTACATGGCTACAGTGGTCAAAACAGCTTGGTACTGGTACAATGAAAGATATATTGATCAGTGGAACAGAATTGAGAATCCAGAAATTAACCCATCCAGCTACAGCCAACTGATTTTCGACAAGGGCCTAAGTATATTGCATGGGGAGGAGATAGTCTCTTCAACAGATGGTGCTGGCAGAACTGCAAAACGATATGCAAAAGATTGAAACAAGACCTTTACTTCACGCCTTATACAAAATCCAGCTCAGCATGGATTAAAGACCTAAATGTGAATCCCAGAATTATATAAACGGTCATCAATGAAAAAATAGGAACAAGTGTGAGGGCTTTAATACAGGGCACACACAGACTACCAAACATTTTTAAAATTACACAAACAAAAGTGGACAAAATAGATGATTGGGACATACTAAAAAAAAACTTGTGTGCATCAAAAGACTTCATCAAAAGAGTAAAAGGGAACCCACACAATGGAAAAAATCTTTGGCAATGACACATCAGACAAGTGACTAATTTCCAAAATATATAGGAACCTACAACATCTCTACAAGAAAAAAAATAACCCAATTAAAAAGTGGGCACAGAACATGAACAGACACTTTACCAAGGAGGAGCTCCAGGCAGCCAACAAACATATGAAGAAATGTTCACAATCACTAGCCATTAGAGAGATGCAAATCAAAACAACAAGATAACATCTCACACCAGTAATAACACAAAAATTTTTAAAAAGTAGAGGACAATAAATGCTGGTGAGGATGTGAAGAGACTGGGACCCACCTACATTCCAGGTGGGATTGCAAAATGGTCCAACCACTCTGAAAAAGAGTATGGTGCTTCCTCAGAAAGTTAGAAATAGAAATACCTTATGATCCAGCAATTCCTCTACTTGCTATTTATCCACAAGAAATATGAGCCATAACACGAGTAGATATATACACACCAATTTTCATAGCAGCACTATTTACAATAGCAAAAAGATGGAGACAGACTAAGTGTCCATCAAAGGAAGAATGGATAAACAAACTTTGGTACATACACACAGTGGAATATTATGCGACCTTTAAGGTTAACAAGGAAGCTGCAAAACACTGTATAACATGGATGTACCTTGAGAACATTATGCTGAGTGAAATTAGTCACAAAAGGAGAAATAATGCATGGGACCATTATTGTAAAAGCTTAAGAAAAAGTACCCACACTAAAAGGGGGGAAAATTCTTTGCTGGTTACCGGGGTGTATGGGGTGGGGTGAGGGGAGGGAGGGGAAGGTGGAGCACAGGATGGGGAGTAGACGCTAGTTTGGGTGCTGTGTGGGTGCGGGGGGGGGGTGGAATACACAAGAAGGAGGGGAATTGAAGTACAAGGCAGATGGGAGAACAGTTAGGCAGGTTTGCATGGGGTAAGTGGGACAGAGGCAAATAAATAATAATGTATGCACAACAGAACAACAGAGCTCTCGGATACAGGGATTGAGGCATGGTTTGAATGGGTAAGAGAGGAAATAATGTTAAGATGCTTGGCTGTCTTTAGAGTCTGATTTTCTCTTGTCTACTATTGTCAAATAGACACTTGAGGAGGAGAGAAAGGAATAGCCAGGAATATCACTGTAGAAAGCTTGTAAGTCTGTCTTCAGCCTAGAAATTATTGGAATACCTAAAATGGGACTAGAACTTGCCCACTGAAGGAGGCTTCCTGTGGAGCCTTTACATTGCATAAGACCATAGGTGGAATCCTGATCCCATCCAGAATCTTCTGAGGTGGGAAGTTTCCACTTGAAAAGACAAACAGACCAGCCTGGAGCGGCTACAAGAATAGAAGATACTTGAAAGAAAGACTGGCAGGAATTTTCAAAAACAGTAATGGCAGTCTGATTGACTACTACAGGAACAAGCAAGTTGTTCCCCTGGGAGCCATCAAGGCAAGCAGTCATCTCCCCTCAGGGCAAAACCCTTCCAAGACTGAGAATCAAGGGGAATCAAATGATGTATTGCATTAGGCAGGTCTATTGCAAAAGACCTCTTCAAAGTGTTAAAAAGCAATGATGTCAATTCAAAGACCATGGTGTGCCTAACCCAAACCATCATATTTTAATTTGCCTTATATGCATGTGAAAGCTGGACCATGCATATGAAGACCAAGGGAGAACTGATGCAGTTGAATTGTGATGTTGCTGTCAAGAATTAAGCAATCTCTTTAGAAGCAAGGATAGCACAATTTCAGCCCATTTACTTTGGACTTGTTATCAGAAAGGACCAGTCCCTGTAGAAGAACATTATGCCTGATAAAGCAGAGAGTTGGTGAAAAAGAGGAAGATCCACACTGAGATGGATTGACATAGTGGCTCCAATTATGGGCTCAATCATAGGAATGATTATGAGGATACTGCAGGACCAGGCAGTGTTTCATTCTGTCGGACATAGGGTCACCATGAATTGGAACTGATTCAGCAGTGCCTAACAACAACCAACAATATAGTTGTTTAGTGCCATCGAGTCAGTTCTGACTCATAGCAACACTGTATAGGGTATTGAGGAGCAGCTGGTGGGTTTGAACTACATACCCTGTGGTTCATAGTCCAGTGCTGATCCTACAACACCACAACAGTAGTGTGTATATATATATATATATATATATATATGTTGTTAAGTGCCATCAAGTCGATTCTGACCCATAGTGACCCTGTATAGGGTTTCCAAGGAGCAACTGGTGAACTTGAACCACCGACCTTGCAGCTCAAATGACTTTGCAGTCTGGCGCATTAGCCCACAGCAGAATTCCATATATATGTATATATATATCCATCTATACATACACGTATACACATATATATGTAGGCGCTTTGGTTTCCTAGTGAGTCAGGTTACTAAACTCAGGCTCAGCAGTTCAAAACTATTAGTCATTTTGCAGGAGAAATATGAGGCTTTCTGCTCCCATAAAAATTTACCTATGTAGGGTTGCTGTGAGTTGGAACCAACTCCATGGCATACCATCATCTACATGTATGTATGTATGTATGTATGTATATATATATATGTACATATATACATGTAGTTGTTGGTACGTGCCATGAGTTGATTCTGACTCATAGCAACCCTGTATAGGGTTTTCAAGGAGAAACTGGTAAATTTGAACTGCTGTCCTTGTGATTCAAACCAACTTTAAGCACCAGTGTTTACAGTGCCACACCAGGACTCCTACATACATATATGTGTACATCTATATGTTTATTTTGAAATCATAATGTGTACATAGTATTTTTAGAATTTTACATGTTAGGCATAAGCGTTTCCCACTATGAAATGTTTCAAGCCCACAAATAAAAGAGTAACACAACAAATACCGTTGTATGCTCATTACTCCGTGACCTACACAAGATAGAAATGTGGGAGCTTATGAAAGGTAACTAGTGCAGGATAAGCACTAAGCTGCTAACCACAAGGTTAGCACAAGGCTCAAACCCACGAACCCACTAGTTTCTGCTCCTCAGAAACTATACAGATTCTCTATCATTTGGAACTGACTCGACGGCACTTAAGAACAGCGTACAATAACACAACATTCTGGAAAAAGACTGGTACTCTGGCATTGAGATTTTATCAAGGACAGTCGTGTTTTTTCTTCAAGTCTGACTTCTTGGAGTCATGTGGTTAGATTTCCCATTCAGTACAAGGATCCCTTCTGCACCTTCTCAGTTCTCTGTTCTGCTGATGTCAGGAAAGCCGTATGTAGAACGTTATGCAGGCGTTTTTCTTATATTCTGCCTCAGGAGTATTTGAGATAGACAATGCTGCACATTTTCTCCACCCCCCCCTCCCCCCCTTCACTACTCTCCCTCACGGCTGCTTTCCCCAGTTACTCAGGGCCATCAGCTTTACCACTCTTGCGGTCACTGATGCAGTTTGCGCTGGGCTTTTACAAACAATACCAGAGAGTGACAAGTAAGTGGGCCTAGACCTAAAAGATACGTACACCAAGTTGAGAAATTATGTTAAAGCCATGAGAGATTGAGAAAGTGATGGATAATGGGGAGAGAAGGATATGAAATAAACAGCGTGAGCCAGTTGAAGAAAATAGAAATTTTTACTTCTGACCCTCACCTGGTGCAACTAACTAGAATTTCAACGGGCGGACATTACATTAGCAAGACTCCATCGTACTTAAACTTCGTTGTTGTTCTAAGTTGCAGTGTTTCATTCTGTTGTACATAGAGTCACGATAATTTGGAACTGACTCAGCACCTAACAACCACCACCAATGTTTCTTTCCTATAAAATAGATTAATAGATATAGATAGGCTGTTGTAAAGTACCGTCAAATCATTTCTGACTCATTGCAACCCTATATTGGGTATCCAAGGAATAGTGTGTGGGTTTGAACTGCCAGCTTTGCGGTTAGCTGTGGAATGCTGATCCGACAGCACCACACCAGGACTCCAGACATAGATATATATCCAGTCACCTCACATGCGTGTGATTCCAGCTCACAGTCATCCCATGTGTTACAGAGTAAAAACGTCTGTAGGGATTTCTTGGCTGTAATCTTAAGGGAATCACCAGGCCTTTTATTCTGTGGTACTACTGGGTGGGATTGAACCCAATTTGAGATTAACAGTCACACTCAAACCAGGGACCTGCCCTCACACTTGTTGTTGTGGACTTGATTCCAGCACATGGTAACCCGTATACATCAGAGGAGAGCTCTGTTCCATAAAGTGTTCAATGACTGATTGTCTCCAGAGAAGGGCTTTTCTTCCTCTTCTGGGTAGACTCCATCCGCCAGCCTTTTAGGTGGCAGCCAAATATGTTACCACCAGAGACGAGAAATACGTTGTTTTGTAACAGGAACCACGATCTTGTTTACTGACATACTTTTTTCTTTTTCAGTAGGTGACCATGGCTATGATAATTCCTTGCCTAGTATGCATCCATTTTTAGCGGCCCACGGTCCTGCATTTCACAAAGGCTACAAACACAACACAATCAACAGTGTGGATATTTATCCGATGATGTGCCACATCCTGGGGTTAAAACCCCACCCCAATAATGGAACCTTTGGTAACACGAAGTGTTTGTTAGTTGACCAGTGGTGCATTAATCTCCCAGAAGCCATTGGAATTGTCATCGGTGTACTCTTGGTGTTAACCACTTTAACATGCCTCATAGTAATCATGAAGAACAGACTGTCGGCACCACATGCATTTTCCCGACTGCAGCTACAAGAAGATGATGATGATCCCTTAATTGAGTAAAATATGCGGGGGTGTTTATAAAGTATCTTCAGAACTAAAGATAACACCCAAGGAATGCTGTTAATACTATGAAAAACTAATTCTGAAAAGCAAGGAAGTCATGCCAAACATGCTAAGTTTTTTAGCTTTTTTTTTACTTTTGTGTTCTGTTTGGTGCATTGGCCAATATAAATAACCCGCACCATATTAAATTTTTTTAGTACATCCTTACTAATGAACACAGATCTATTGCTCTAGCTAGAAACGTCTTTGGGGAAAAATACTCCCTCTGCTTGTGTGTATGTGTGTGTGTGCACACGCGTGCGTACATTCTGTGTGATGAAGGTGTGAAGCATCTTTTACATGAGAAGACAAGCATACCAGAATTTCGTAGGCATGCATTTCTAATAAATTTATATATTTGTACATGAAAGAACAGAAATCCTTATGCAGTTCTTAAATTTTGTGTATCCAGGAAGAAATGCTTCCTATATTTTTATATTTGCCTTTGATAGAGTTCATATCCCAAGTAAACACTTGAGAAAGTAAACCTCTGTTAAGGTTAATAACATTGGTTAACCTGGTAGAAAACATTTTGCACATGAAAGTATTAAGGAACGCTACTTTAAAAAGCAAAACACAGCTAAGACTATTGGGCTCAGAAAGTATTGAAGTTCTAGGAGTTTTATCTTTTTTTGCTAGTAAGAAATTCACAGTAGAGAAAATTGCTAAAGACATTTGATCTATGCTGTTGTGTAAGTTATTGTGTGTGTGTGCATGCGTGTGTAGTCACAGAAGTCATGTGATCTGTTTTAGAAAGAAGTCAAAGGTGAACTGGGCTGTAGCTGGCCTTTCACATTCCCATGAAACACAGCTATCAGGAAAGGCTATTTTTGTGTTCATATTTGTTTACTTTCTCCTAACTTACAAGTTAAAATCATAATTTTTAAAGTCATTAGTTTTGTTTGCCATAATTAGCATTCTCCTGTTGTTTATTGTAACAAGAGGTATCCAAGTGCTCCAGATACATTAGGAATATAAATCTGGCTTTGCTGGGTCAGAAGAGACTCTTGTGTTAGTTTTTAGGCATTAGAGCAGTTAGGAAATTGAAAGTAGAATGTGTCTATTTTGATCTTTTACATAATTTCTGTGTCATCTGACTAAAGAAACTCAGAACTGTGAACTTTCAATATGGCCAGTGCTGCTGTGGCTCATAGAAATAGTCACTGTTGATAGCTTTTCACTTGCTTATTCAGAGCCAAGGAGTTATTATGAGAACCCTATTGTCCTGCCATTGATAGGTGGCCCCTCCTAGTAATTGAAAGTTAATATGAAGAAACTTGAGTTGTGGAAGGCCAGACTTTATTTGTTAGGGGTCAAACTGGGTTATAGAACGAACCACTTTTGAAATGAAACAAGCAATTAGTATTCATAGTATGTTCGTTAAAGTTTGAGCAGTATAAAATAAACTTGGTCACTGTTTTGCAGACACAGAAATAACTTAGAGTGAATATGCAGTATAATTAACTGTGACAATCTGTGATAATGAAGAACAGCAGTGGTGCCAATGAAACAATAATCTTCTTGGGTTACTGCTGATTTCCAGAGCCTGGTCCTTGGTGACATTTATATTTGGGGCCTTTGAGAGGCCTTCCCAGACCCTGTCTGTGTAAGTAACCCATGTTACTGGTTCTAAGAGTTGATTGTATTATGAACAGCATAATAAATAGGAAATAAAACTCATAGGAATAATTTTGCTTCTTAACAAATTTGACTTCATTTTTTGTTTCACACACACACATACATAAGGCCATTTTACTAAAGGTTGTGGACTCCTGGTGTGGTGATGTCGGATAAGCATTGGACTGCAAACCACAAGGTCAGCAGTTCAAACCCACCAGCAGCTCTTCAGAAACCCTATACAGGGTCGCTGTCAGTTGTTACCGACTCGACAGCACTTAACAACACTAAACATTGAAAGATGATTAGAATGAGAGAGTAGAAAAATATAATTCAGGATTAATTTTTTTAAAAAAACCAACAAATAATTGAACTCTCACATTTAAAACTTAAGGGGTTTTTTTCCCCTTAAAATTGTGGACGTAGCTTGAAATGTCTAACGCAGTAGTAGACTATTTTATACAGTTGAGTGGCTCTTGGTCTTTGCAGTGGTGTGGGTTTAGATTGCCCCTGCTTGCTTGGTGGTTATGAGTTTCAGATACATAGTACACAGCCTGTGAGTAGATGGGATGCCCTGTTAGTGTCTTAACCCTTTCAACAAAAAACCTATTTGTCTTTCATTTCATTTTCAAAAAGATTACCTTTATTTTTAATGAGATAAATTGCTTTTATATGTTTATATTGATGGGATGAGAAGTATTTGATCAAAGAGACATTTATATGTTATTATGGTGAACTTTGTACTAATTCATTTGGATCTTTAGAAAATGATCACAGTTCATACCAATGATGCCTCTAGTACACTGAGAAACTCTTTTGATTAAAGCTAGACTTTCACATGAAGGTTTAAATGTGTATTTTTTTAATGTTTGGACTAATATGCTACTGTGTTTGCTGAATAGTAGAAAGTATTTGGCTCCGGAAAACATTCATTTATTTCTGACAACAGTAAAAGGTAAAGGGAATACTTTTAATGAGGTGTTTATTTGCTACTTCAATGGGTGACTGTTTTCAGATGAGTTAAATGTACGTACACATAGGGATTGTTCTGCTGCTGTTATGAATGTACAGGTTCTTGTAAAAAACCATAGGATAAAATATTTGAATGCTCTGTACTATATATAGGCTTTGTGTTACTATTCTTTGCACTTGGTTTGAATATTTGAAGATCAAAGTTCTTGGAACACTGAAGGATTAACATTGCATTTCATTGTTCTTGTGTGGATTCCTCTCTTACCTGTACAAGCTTTAACGATGAATCCATTTAATTCCTTTTTTTTTTTTTGGAGGACTTTACTTCATGGTGAATACACAGAGCTACAGTCAAAGACAAGAATGAGATGGAAAGTATTGTCAATTTTTTAAATAGTAAATAATGTCATGAGTGTATTTTAAAGAAATTTATATGTAGTGCCTTAAGTTGTATATTTTGACTATATTGTCTGAATTCATAGTTAATACCTTTGCTTATGATTAAACATTTTTATGTGAATAAAATCTACCAAAACATTATAATTATTAAATATAAATTATTAATTTCTGTGTCATTGATGATTTTTTAATTTGTTACTTTCTTTTCAAATATATGTGCTATAATAGACTGTCGATGGGACTTAGTAATACTGTATAAACTCACGTAGGTATTGATAAGGATGTTTTGTATTTAATTCAGGATTAAGTATACTATACTGAACTAGATTTTTAAACCAATGTACACAATGTATACAACCCTGGATTCCTGATGTGGCTCTGTAGGGTATGTGTGTGGACTCCTGAATAAGTACTGGACTCTGAACCACAAGGTCGGTGGTTCAAACCCACCAGTTGCTCCTCAGAAACCATATGCATGGCTGTTGTGACTCGGAATAGATTCGATGGTACTTAACAACTATATATATATATATATATATATATATATATGGAGCTCTGGTAGTGTAGTGGTTATGAATCAGTCTGTGAACCACAAGGTCAGCAGTTCAAAACTACCAGCTGTTCCACGGGAGAAAGATGAGGCTTTCTGATTCTGTAAAGATTTACGCCTCAGAAACCCTGTGCAGGGTCGTTATGAGTCGAACCGACTCCACAGCACATAACAACCACCACACACGTATATATAATCCAGTATAATAGCAGCACTAGGAAACCCTGTACAGGGTCACTATGAGTCGGAACCAACTCCACGGCACATCACAACAGCAACAACAGAACAAAATCCAAGGTCATTTTGTGTAACTTTCAGTATGGCTATTTATTGGCATACAGTAGATGGGAAGATTTTTGAAAAAGCTGATTATAAAACACTGGCATAAGAGAAAGGGGTTATATTAAATTCTGCTTATGTATATTACCATAAGTGCTAAATATCTTTATATATATGTATATGTACATATAAGGAGCTCTGGTAGCGTAGTGGTTACAAATCAGGCTTCGAACTTCAAGGTCAGCAGTTCAAAACTACCAGTTGTTCCACGGGAGAAAGATGAGGCTTTCTGTTCCTGTAAAGACTTACTGCCTCGGAAACCCTGTGCAGGGTGACTATGAGTTGGAACCGACTCCACACACATAACCACCACCACCATATGTACATACATATACTCAACAGTTTCCTCTAATAAAACGATGATTAATTCATTTCATGTTTTTACATTTAGTGAACACTGCTAGGAACTGGGAAAACAAAAGATTAAGAGACACTATCTTTACTTTTGAAGAGAGTTCTGTGTCAATTCTAAAAAGCTTTATGTTAGCCAATCAATTACATCTACTGTGTGCAAGGAGCCCTGGTAGTTAGTGGATTACAAGCTGGGCTGCTAGCTGCAATAGAAAAACAAGATTGACAGCCTCAGAAATCCTGTGCAGGGTCGCTATGAGTTGCCACACCACCACCACCTCCCATGATGCACCTCATACTGCTGAGAGTCTCGATGAAGAACCATTTTCCTGGCCTTCTGCTTCCTGAAGATTGGTTACCAACTTCTCACTCACCCCCAGCCTTTATGAACTTGTGCTTGGATGTCATTACTGTCCTGCTATACACCCTCCCAGCCTCTCCCTGTTCCCCACCCTTCTATCAGAGAACATGTGAGAATACAAATGAGCCAGTTGAGGACTGGGGACCTGTCACAAACACACACTGATGACATGGCTATCGTTTTGCATCCTAATGTATACATGTCTGTACATGTGTGTGCAGATGGTTGTTGGCATTGAGATTTTAGATGTCCTCTGACTTGTCCTATGGCCAGAGTTATCTGGGAGAAAAAGGTAGAGTCTACCCAAAGAGCAAGCCAAACTGCTAGATAGGACAGAATTCTACTTTTCCACTTAACCTTCTTTCTCTA